ATAAATATATAGACATGTATGTGTCTGTACCTCCACCATGCACACATTTACATATATACATAGACATGGGGGTTTCTTTAGGTTTGTTTTTTTTTGTTTTTTTTTGTTTTTTTTGTTTTTTTTTTTGTTGTTGTTTTTTAAGGCAGGGGTGCAGGAGAGAAGCTCTTAGAAAAGTATGGAAGGAAAAATAGAGATACCGGATGTTCCAAGACTCCAAAATGCCCTCATATAACCTTGGACTAACTCCTGATTTTTATAGGACAGTTGGGAACACTTCCTGGTCCTCCAGTCTACCTGATACTCCTCCCCAGCTATTTCCAATCCAAATACAACACTACTTATGGCATGGACGCTCGAGGTGCCAGGTCTTAAGAACATAAACAAAAGGACGAGTCCCTTAGCAAGAATCCCACAGCCACAGACATCTTTGTATAGTTTTAAAACAACATATTAAGGATTAAATGTTTAAGCTTAAGTCTATCATTTTAATTTAGAACACTTTTCCTTTTTGTAAATAAATGAAGTAACTATAAATTCTCTCTTGATAAGTGCTAATGAAGTCATAATACTTATTTCCATCCATGCCTTCAATTTCTAATCCATTTCTAAAATAAGAGATGTAGAAGAAGAAAAGTATGTAAAGAAGAATTACAGTCAATTGTCAAAAAATAAAAAAGAAATCTTATCTTTTTTTAGTTTTTCTAAACTTCTGAAAAGCAACCCATTTATGAATTAAGAACTTAGGATTCGAGAACAAGGCTTCAAATTCACTGGCTCCACTTACTAGCTGGATGAGAAAGTGACTTCACGTATCTAAAGTATAGTCCTCTCAGCTGTAAAATGAGTCTGTAACAATACGTACTATATGGAGTTCTTGAGTATATTAAGTTAGGTAAACACCTCTGAATAGTACCTGGCACATGGTAAGCATTCGGGAAAAGTGACTATGTATAGAGATGCTAGAAAAGATAGACATTCGCAAAAATTAACGATGACAACACCAACAAAAAAATCAAAGGCTCACTATATTCTCTGCCTTCTGCAATTATCTACGTGGGTACTTCATATTCGTATTTTAATAGAATTTGCTTACTAGAATTGAAAGTGAATGTTTTAAAAGGCTGTATCTGTTTGTTACACAAGTAAACGGGAAATTACAAGAGAACAGGTCCCACATACCATCTTTTCCTTGGTATTTGTTTTCATTTGTTCTGACTGACTGTGATTCAGTGCCATCTGGAGCCTAAAGATAGAAAATGGGCCATTTAGTCATCTCCAACTCACAACCAGAAAAATGGTATTGCAAATAATTCCATTACTAACCTTCAGAGTACAAGAACTGTATTCAGAATTATTACAATCACAGTGGGGGGGAAAAGTACTATGGTTATAATCAACAAATATTTGATCACCCACAAAATGTAAGACACAATGCTGAGTCCAATGGGAAATATGAAAAATATCAAGAGTTTCCCCGCCATCAAGAACGCCACCATTTAGTTTAGGGGAAAAGACAAACATATCAAAAAGCTAGTAATATCCATCGACAGATGAATAGATGTGGTCTATCCATACGATGGAATATTATTTGGCAATAAAAAGAAATGAAGTACTGATACATGCTACAACATAGATGGACCATGAAAACATTATATTAACTGAAAGGAACCAGTTACAAAGGCCACATATAATATGATTCCATTTCTATAAACTGTCCAGAATAGACAAATCATAGAGACAGAAAGCAGACTAGTGGTTGCCTAGCAGTGAGGAGGGAAATATGGGGAATGACTGCTAATGGGTATGGGCTTTCTTTTGGAGATGATGAAAATGTGCTTGTGGTGAAAAAGTTGTTTGTGGTGATGGTTGCAAGTCTATGACTATACTAAAAAACCACCGAACTGTAGACTTTACATGAGTGAATTGGGTGGTGTGCACATTATAGCTCAATTATGCCATTATAAAACAAAATTACAAGTTGACATGTAGGTAATAAAATAGAAATCTTCAAATTGAAAAAAAAAAAGCTAGTAATAAATGCTATAAAAGCTAGATATGCAAAGGAGCTGCTTTTTCAAGGGGTTGGGACAGTGACAGCCAAGGAATGTAGCCCTCCAAGGGTTGATGGACACAGTAAAACACGCTGACTCTCTCCACACCAGTAAGTGTAGCCAGGCAGCACTTCCTCCTTTCCCAGTTGGCTTCAGAAGGAATTCAGTAATCAGGAAGGGGAGTCTAGATCAATCATACACAGAGGTCTATTTGAATGAATTACTTTTAAAATAATCATTCTGTTGGATTTTCATCTCTACCCAAAAGAAGGCAGCCTTTGTAGTTGTCCTCGCCATACATTTCACCTCAAACTCTGAGCCAAGGACTTCTCCCTCCACCTGCACTCTAGGAAATGTCTAGAAAAGCACTGGAGCAGGTATATAGGGACAGTGAGTGTACTACATAGAGACCAATGGTACCCAGGAGTGTGCATAGTGACTACCAAATCACAGAAGTGGTACAGGCGGTCATGGCACTACTGCCATCTCACTTGGGACTGAGTAATACCACCCTCCTTTTCTCTGCCCACAAGCCCACGGAGGATGAGCCCCCCCCCCATAGCACAAATGAATATAGTGAGTGTTTCTAATCTTACATAGGAACACACATTTTGGAGCATGTGGTCAAAATTGTTTTCCTTAGCAATTGAAGACGACAGTGCAGATGGTATTCATTTCTGTATTATATTTCCTAGTGTCAGCAAGGTCTTTATGAGGAAGCATTTAAAAATGAAAGAGCTGAGTATACACTTATTTGAGAACAGAAGAACTACAAGTGAAGATGGTTGGCCCATGTTTTCTTGAAGGATGGAGGATATATTTCTAATGGATGGCAGTGTTTCAATGAAAGGCATGCAGTGTAAGCAAGTTAACATTATTTTCATTTACTTGTGCTATTTCTCTTTTAATGACTCAATAGGTTGATACAATCCACCAATTACCTTGGACTCATATGATGTAGATGAGGCATGACTAGGAACCTGTTGAAAAATGCTACTTCTAGCACCTGGTAGCAACATCCTCTTGGAAAACGGCATGAATCTCCAGGTGTGTGTTGCTTAGGTTCAGCTTTCTGTCCTCTCTTTTACTTTCTCTTACCTCCCTTAGAAAGGGTTCTTTAATTGGGAAGGACATGTTATAATACTATATTCCCTTACCATTCATTTTTCTACTGCTGGAAACCTAGTCCAGTCCAACTCCAGTGGATGTCCCAAATAATCACTGGGTGGCAATCAAGTGCTTAACTGCCTCATACCAGCAAGAGGCCTGCATAGAATAATCCAATGACCCAAAATCTATTAAAGAACTAGTTTGATCCACAATTCACCATGCGAATGGAATTGAACTCTGAAGCTATAAAAGATACCATAGAAGAATGTAATGTCTACAAAAAAGCAAAAAAAACTCTACATAACAGAAAGATACCTTCAATAAAAGCCCTCTCATTCCCTCATTTCTTTTAGAGTCATAAAATTTTGGGGTTTTGTTATTTATAGTGTAAATAGAATCTCATGTTTGGATTACTTAATATCAGAATGATGTATGGAAACCCAAATATAGCAGGAATGCATAGTGGTTAAAAGCACCTACTGTAGTCAAATGAATGTGGGCTTACTATCTACGGGACATTGAACAAGTTCCTTAAAGTCTCTGAGCCTCAGCTGTAGAATGGAAATGGTACTACCTCACTCAAAGGACACTTTAAGGATGAGGCAAGGAAAGTAGTTACCACAGTTAAGTGTTCAGCAGTGGTGGCAGCAATTATTGGTGGTATTATTATCATTGCAATCATTGCTCAAGGTAGGTCTCTTGCCATGCCTTCCCTGACATTTTTTCATTCATCAGTCCCAGTCTCTACCAGACTCCAACAGCTATCACTAATAACTTAGTCATCTTGACAAATATTTACTCAAATTTTCTATGTGCTAAATTTTTTTGTGCCTACGTGCTAAGCGTTCGGCACAAAAGGGAAGTTACTCCAGGTTTCCAGGTTCCTGCTTTATAATTCAGCTGTAATCAGCTCCCTCACATTCCACGTCCAATCCTTCCCCAGTGAGTCTAGGAAAAAGCAAATATTCCTACAAGAGTTAAGAGATAGAAAGAATCCCCTATCTCTTGCTGTTCTATTATATAATATAAGCAACAATTGGTAGTCACATTATCTGGGGGGTTAGGGTCACTCCTCAGGCTCCAAGAACACCTAATATAAGGATTATCACACTGAATTTTAACTGGTGTCATTTTCTACCCCATCAGAATGACTTCTAGAAGTACAAGGATCGAGTGCTCTCTTGATCACGACCTGCACAGAGCTTTACTGCCTGCAATATAATAAGGGCTCATTAAGTTTTTAATAATTTGAATTGAACAGGATTGGTCTAGTTGATTCTAAGAAAGTATCCCTTTGTTTTAACACCAAAAAAAAACACCTACTTTTTCTTTTGAGTCTCTCTGTTGAGCAAATATGTCTCTGACATCAGGAATCTGGTATTGTTTGTTCTTTTTCCTTAAGGTCTGGGAGACCGTCTCTACCCGTTTCTGAACCGCGGCTGCCTGGGTCCGAGTCAGTGTTGATAAAAACACCATGCTTTCTTGAGGATCTTCAGCAGACTCTCCAAAGAGATTGGACAAACCAGCCTCCTTAAGCCACTCTTCTTCCAATTCGCCCTCTAAGACATTAGAGAAAAAATGGTATTTAAATCAGAAAATATAATCACTTCTATATTTTTTAAGCTTTTAAAAAAATTCTTACTGAAGCTCTTCTATCATAACCAAACCACAGTGCTAAGAATCATTATCTGAAACCTGGACAACTGCCAAAAACGCCAACCACAGAGATATCAAATTTTAGATCCATTTCATATATATACTCAATTAAAATTTTTAAATGACTTCACATGTAATTAACCTCTATAACTTCTCTGTGGATTAACTATGGGAAGATAATACTGTTCCCTTTCCAGGGATGAGCAAGCAATGAAAATATAACTTATTTCCATCAGGTTACAGAAGGAAGTCAATGCTGGGGCTATCTATTAAAGCCCTGTTTCTTGGCTTAAATTCAGCAATACCACAGAGTCAAACACTAATTGATGGAAAGGTTTGTTTTCTCTGTTCACTGTAGCTGACAGGGAGCATGGCAAAAAAAGTAAAGAGCATTTGGACATCAGGACCTAATTAATTTCAAATTAATTTCTTTAATCCCCCTAATCAGCACATCAGACTCATTTTTTTTTACAAATTAAAAAAAAAAAAGCACACTATCTTCAGCAAAAATAGCTTATTTTAGTCAACAAATTACATAACAATCTATTTAAAACACTGACAGCAGGATATAAACAGTAAAGCAAATACTATGCAAGATCTAATAAAAAATATAGAAAAATGGAAAGCTAACTAAAATAGATTCATGCCAAGCACCAAATTTATAGAGGGAAGTGAAAGACCAACTGTCCTGGACAAAAAGACCTGCATCTATACCCCTTTTCTGCACCTTCATATTCATGTCACTTTGGTCAAGTCACTTAGCCTCAAGCTGACTCTGTTTTCTCATCCGTAACCTATAGCACAGCTGTGCTGGCTGCCTCATAACCAAATATGAGAATGTTATATGAGAAGAGCTTTGCAGGGCTCTATTATAGCCCGTATCACATGATGTAGTACTGACTGGTTTTCCTGTCTATCCTTTTACATTATATAAACTCCTTGAGGATAGAAATCACGTTGGCTGCAAGAAACGTAATGTAGTGTCAGACGTTTCAAATGCCAGGCAAAAAAAAAACACAACAAAAAACCTGATTTGTACTGACTTAAAAATCAGTCATTATTATTCATGCTATTAAAATAGAACTCAGTACAATATAAAAACTGAATTGCAAAAAAAAAAGCTGATATTGCCATGATAAGGAAAGTAAACAAAATTATAATATAGACTCATTTGTTCCATTAGAAAGTACAGGTAAACTCAATTTAAATTAAAAGAAAAGGCATGGACATGTAAAAGTATTCACAATTCGTCTTGAAAATCACAATGAACTACAATTTATAAGTTAATCTTAATCTTGGAAAATTATGAAATAGCTAATGACATATGGCTATGTTTCAGGCCTGAATGCTTTTCTGTAAAATGTTCGCTCCTTATTCAGAGGCCACTTCTATACTGCTTCCATCTTGAAACACTGACACAGGAAGATTGAGATGCTATGATCACAGATAAGCTCGACTTTACTGGTAAAATGAGAAAGAATGAGAGCATAATGAAAGAAAACCCAAACAAAAGAATGAATTGATTATAACTTTCTTTTACAGATATAAGAAAAATTAAATTTAAAAAAAAATCTCCATTTTTTTTCTTTTTAAAGTATTACTTATGGATTTTTCAAGAAATGTTACAACAAAGAAGGAAAATTTGTTTATGTAGCTTTGGCCGCTTAAACAATTCAACACTAGGTCATTTATAGATAAGAAATCTTCTATTGCAAAGGAGACCACGATTAGTGCATCATGAAGCAAGGGCTGTGGCTCCTACTTTTTTGGCATTTTCATCAATTTATAAACCAAAGAGACATACTTATAAATGTATGAATGGCACAAGGCACAGAAAGAAAAGTAATATACTAGATGCCAGAATTGGTCATCACAACTTGATGACTGCTTGGATTTAAGAGGTTGAAAGAAACAGTATGAAATTTAAGGGGGGGGGGGGAGTAAAGTTTTACATGTTTCTTCCATAATATCAAGTACAGAAGTGAGAATGTGGTAAATATGGCTGGAAGGAAATGACAAAAATTATAGACCAAATACAAGAAAAAAGCAAATATGGAGATTAAAAATACTACTGCCACATTTTACTGTGCAAATCTATACCCTTAGGTTAGCTGACTAACCCTGTGGCATTGCGTCTAATCTGGAGTACTCCACTTTGAAAGACAGGATGACTAGGACTGGGACAGGTCTGAAAACCATGCACAAGGATTGGTTTCTGTGAATCTTTTTTCCTTCTTCAAACATTTGAAAGGCTATCATGTAAAAATAGAATAGACTTGTTCTGCTCTTCCAAAAAGCAAAATCACGGCACATGAGTCAAAGGTAGAGTATAGCAGATTGTAAATCAAAAGAATATAGAACATCAAAACAATTCGAGCTGACTGACCAATGGAAAAACAGCATCACTGCATCCACACTCACTAGAAGCCATAATAAATACCATTTGGCTAGGATACCACAGAAGGTATTCAAAGGGAGGTTAGATGATTTTGAAGATCAAGTCTAACCCTAAAATTCTATGATACAGTAAGCTTAGCCAACAAGATTATAGCCATATAAGCCTACAGGAATTTACTCATGCCACTTGTATTTGGCAGCTGCATCCATAAATCTGACACAAACAGTAATTTTCAAGATGAAAGGCAACCAGCATTATCTTTTTTGGGTTGCTCTATCATTAATTTTTTATTATTGTTGTCATGCTCCTCTTCCCTTCCATGCATTCATCTCCCATAAATACATATACATTACAAAAAAAAGTTTTATTTAGTTAGTTATTACCATCAGGCTCTTTGACAACCACCACCTCTTGATCTTGTCTGTTCTCATTAGACTTCTTGATGTTTTCCAGTTCAATCCAATAGTCCTCCATAGATAGTTCATCCACAGAATCCTGGGAACTCGATCGATCAAATGGAGGCTTTTCCTTAACTTTGGTGATTTCTTGGTTCATAGTGTACTGGCCATATCTACGACTATAAATTCAAAAGAAAACATGGTTCATTCTAGTACATGAGGAAGTAATACAATTTCTAAAATTGAGCTGGCGATTTAAGGAACTTCTAAGTTCTCCTTAATAAAACCAAAGAGATATATCTTTTGAAACTATTTACCTTGAGATGCTACTGTTTATAATATGTTTGTAGAATGAACAGAATTTTGTTCTTTACCAAAAAAGGATAGGGAAGAACAAATAGCAATGTGAGAAACCATTTTTCCATTTCCATTTTGCTTAATGGACTTGTTTAAACCTAAAATTTTCTTCTTAGAAAACAATAGGTTAAATCTTGATTAGAGGCTATTGGTTAATTAAATTAGGATTGGATTTTACACAATATTTCATATTTATTATTTATACCTGTAAACCAAACTCAGTCAACCCTTATATAGCAAATTATCTGCAATAAATGAACAAGGTACTTTTTGAATTTCCATTTTATTTTTGGAACCAAAACATATTACACTCTACTATAGAAAGCAAGCTTAAATCTACTTATAAATGTACCCATTACTTATGTGTATTTTTTTCTAAAGTGCTAAAACTTCATTTATTGGAAAAATTCTGAACTTCATTTATTTGGCAATTCTGAACAAAGAGCTAAGAATTAACCTCTTAAACATTTATCTCAAACATTATCTATGAAGAGAACAATAAATTGAATAGATAAAGGTATTTTATGAGTTCATGTCAACTATGTTTTCTTTATAAGTCACATCTCACCTACTAAAATTGAATTAAAAGACCTTATAATAAAAACCCACATATAACAAAAATAGTAAATTCTTGTTTTATATCATTTATATTGAGACAGAGGAGGGAAAGCCTAATTACTTAAAAAAGGAAATTTATCAATTATTGTGCTTCCCCTTTATATTCAATATTTTTTAAAGAAACACAATTTGAATAAGGACAATAATTGGTGAACTAGTGTTTTGTTATTCTAATTTCAAATTGCTCTTTTATCTTCCAAGATATTAGGAAAGGATGCTTTGCTAGATTAGTTTTACTTACTCCACATATAGAAAAATAAAAAGAAAAGCAATTCAACAAAATTCTCTAATAGTGTGTGAACAATTTCACATTTAAACTGGCCTTCCCTATAATGATTTAAAATAGTTAGATTTAATACTACATAAGGGAGAGGGTCACTAAACTCCAGTCAAAGCTACCCAGCAGTTAAATTTCAACTAGTTTCAGTAGAAAAAGTCAAAGAACTTAATTGCTTACTGCTGCAAATAAATGTAATATAACTGACAACTGTAATATGCTAATAAGCCAGTTTTACTCCTTTAAATCCTCTCTGCCTTGATGACACATTTCAGAAGTGCTGGCTGCATTAATGAGTGAACAATCGTTGGAATCTCCCCTCAGTGGCAACCACAGGGTGGTGATGGGTGAGTGTTAGGACTGGGGCCAACAGGAGGAAGTATAGACATGTTTGTGCGAATCTCTTTCCTCCAGTCTCCATTGTCCATTGTTTGCCTCTTACATCCCTTAATTCAAGGGGCACTTCCTCCCTCTCTCTCCCAACTGTCCTGGTCACATCCTTGTATCCCCAGCCTGGTCCCCTTCTCTCACCCAAGAGGCCACCATGATATAGTCAGTGTTCCTATTTGAGAGTTTACACGCCTGCTTCTTAAAATGTGAACGAGAAAGCTATCTCTATCTTCAAAATGAAAAATGATACGTGTGTGTGTGTGTGTGTGTGTGTGTATTCCCCCCCCCTCCCCATGATCAGCAGCTCAATTTATCTATAGGTCACATTCCTTAATTCTGCTTTACCAGGATAGCTAAAGGTAATTTATGGAAAGTCTGCCAGATTATTTTTTGGTTTATTTCATGTCAAATATAGAAAGGCTCTATCCTTGCTTTTGTTTTATCTCTCATGACAATGTAAGAGTGTCCACCTTATTCCTACTTCCTACAATCCTTAGCCCCACGGGAGTCCACAGTAAGTACTATGGAATGTGTAAAGTATAATGATTCATGCCAAATAATTTGGTTTATCTGTTCACAGGAAAGAGGTGCAGTTGAACTTAAAAGTACATGAAGCCTTTCACTCCTGAAGGAATGTGTTTATTCTGGCAAGAATTGTCCAGTAAATTTCCATTAAGATAGCATGCGCAGAAAAATGCAAGGGCATGAAGCAACAGCACGGTTACGTAAATATACCTGCTACATCAAGCCCTGCTTTCAGAACCTACACAAAGAAAAAAATCTAATCGCTCAGTGCTGATGAACTCACTCAATATTTGGACTTTAATAAGATTCAAAAGCCGAATAGGTTTGCGATGATAACCGGAAAAAGATACTGACTCACGGAAAGATGGATTTTTTTTTTTAATCACCCGTAAACGTTGCAAAACCACATTTTCTCTTTCACATGAAGGTGGGGAGTAGGGAGAAGGCAACCAATCAGGGCTAGACTACCCTCTATAGTCAGCATGCCATGTATTTTGTATTTTCTCTAAAAATGTAACTTGAACATTCTTTAATTACAGTTTACATCAATAAACATGTCATGTCACCTCTTAGAATATACTCTCCTTTTGAACTCCAGACAGGCAAATGGCTAAAAGGCTTGCCCTTCTGAAAACCATCCTGGTAAGAGGCCAGGCAACTAGTTTCTTCTCTTTTGTGTTTAGGAGTATGTTACATGATACCATGTTCATTCTGCAAATTGGGTTCAAGAACATAAGGCAACATCTGTTACACATAATGAAGCGCAGAGCAGAAATATTTTCTATTGCCAAAAGACCCAAGCCAACACACGGTGCTGAAATTGAAGAAACGCAGTTTGTACCATAGGCAACTACTAATCACCCCGACCTGCCTTATAGGCAAATGATTGTGCTACATTCTTCCTTCCTCACTCCCCTTCCAGAATCCTATGTGCCAATCATCCCATGGCCACTCTTCAAACACGCTCTCAATTCTCAAGTCTTATCATTTTAACGACAGAATTAAACACTGCCCTCTAAAAGAAGCTGTTTCCTAGTCCCAGTATATTATTACCTTGCCTTTTTTCATGGGCACTCATATCACCAGCAAATACTAACTTTATAGGCTCTTAGGGCCTTCATAAAATGTCCGTTCTTTTTCATCTTGCTAGCATGTTCTCACACTGTGTTTATAAAATGTGGGGCTTTGTTTCCTTATATTTTCCCCAGGTATATCTTATCTTATTTTTCTGTGACTTTTTTTTCACCTGGTTAGTGAATTTCAAATGAACTGATATTATTTCAGTGTATTAGTAATGTCTGTTACTTATTTTGTCACAGAGAATGTTAAACTGGTCTGACAAAATTTGCTCTTCATAAGGAGGTGGGGGTTGCCATGCATTATACTGTGATTTGATAGGAAAAAACAAGCTCATTGATGAGTCATCCCAGCACCCATGCAGTCAGCGAAATGACATGGAAACATGGGACTGAGAGTCATAGTACAAAATGATTCCAGCTGTCTTAACTATCTCTGTGATTTTGCAAAATCACTTACCTACTCTAATCCTAACTTTCCCTAGCTATAAAATGCTTTTGTTTGTGGAGTTATCAAATGAGAGTTCCTCCTGAAGTGCCTGCCTCATAGGTAACCTCGAAGAGAGGACTCAAGTTAGTATCGTTGCTAACACCTGTGAAACTGCTTATTATATAACTGCCCCTCCCATAGCTTAATAAGGTCACCTTTGCCCTCTTCCAAGGTTCAGAGATTTACTTATGCTCTAGGGCAGCCATCCTTAAACCTTTTGGTCTCAGGACTACTTTACATACTTAATAATTTTTAAGTACCCCTAAAGAGTTTTTGCTTATATAGGTTAAATCTATTGATATATATACTGATATTAAAATGGAAGAAAATAAATACTAGTTTATTGAATAATAAACATCTTACTCTAAATAGCATTTTTTGAAAAAGAGAAAACTATCTTTCATACCAAAATATATATATATATATATGTGTGTGTGTGTGTGTGTGTGTGTGTGTGTGTGTGTGTGTGTGTGTGTGTATATATATATATATATATATTGTGAGATGAGTAGCATTGTTTCACATTTTTGAAACTGTCTTTAATGCCTGGTTTAACAGAAGACATCTGGATTCTGACATCTGCTTCTGCATTCAATCTTTAGCGATATCACATGTCATGTAGTCTCTGGAAAACTCCACTGTATTCTCATGAGAGAGCAAGAGTGAAAATGGCTAATAACGCCTTGGTGTTGTCATAAAAATAGTTTTGATCTCCTAGATCCCTAAAAGGGTCTTGAGACCCCTAGGTGTTCCTGGACCACACTTTGAAGACTGCTGCTCTAGGATTTCCCAAAAACATCACCTAATGGATCTCAAAAAGCACTTTTCAATTCTGTGGGCAACGCTCCAGAAAGCCTCCCTGAAAGAAACAGACATGCTTTCCTTGTGACTCTTGACCTACTTCTTTGTTTATTTTAGTTTAGTCTTACAGCCTTTCATCAAAACTGGGACGTACTCCAATGATATATCCATATTTAATTTATACTACAATGAGAAAGAATAAAAATGTCATTTAAAAACTCTTGCCTTGCCAACGTCTTTTATCATATTGCTTTTATCCATTTAGTATAAGGGGCAGACGCTCTCTCTATTACACTTTTGGCCAGTGTATTTGAAAATGTGTATTTCCTTAAAGCTCCTTTGTCATCCATACCTCTTCCTACAGCCATCTCAAGGCAGACTTATTTGGACCTAGGATGTTTCTTTGAACTCATGTTTAACTATGTGATCCAATCTCCACTTTTGGTATGTACCTACTCTATCAAGAGTCCTGCTGCTACACTTCATACCCAGTCCATCTCCTGGTTCTGCCTCATCTGGAAGCATTTCTATCACCCAAAGTCTGCTTCCTTGACGTCCTTTGATGTTAGGACTTGGTTTTGTTTGTTCTGTTTCCTTACAAGATCTTTTCTTAAGAGCTGCTTTCTTTCAAGCTTCTTAGTCTAC